GATCCACATAATATGAAATAATCTCTAACTTGTGAATCCAAGAATTATGCTTCTTTAAACTATTCAAAAAATATCCACCAAAGTGTAGGTTTTCAGATTAACGTGCAAGAATGATGGTATGCGGTCGACGTCGTGAGTAGCATAGATGTTATGTATTATAGATAATATTAAAAGTGTAAAATATAAAGATGAGGAGAAATGCAAAAACTAATTTTGATGCCCGAAATATTCTACGCGGATCAAGTCGCGGGCACAGAAAGTATACTATACATTTAATAAGCTACGAAGAAGTGGGAGCTCTAATGTTACTTACCACCAATGGGCTCTGTTTTAAAAACACATGTCTAGATAACAAATTTTCTTTTGTTATATTACTTTAAAATTACATTATTAATTTAGTTAAAAAGAAACAACAGACCAATAATTATTTTAGTACCGTCGTGCTCGCGCGTGCCGCAAAGTATCCAAAACGTCGGTGAAAGTAAATTGTAAAGTACCTAACATACTACAGACAATTCTTTATTTTAAAGCCTTTTATATTTTTAATAGCAATTATGCACGTAAGTGTATTTAATTAATAACGCAATGATGATTCTGTATTTTATCATCAAACTTTTGTCGTTGTCGTTTCAAGCTATTAATGCTCACAGTTCTACAAACCTCTCTCGCTTACGCAGATTTTTAAAGCATAGACCCCCGAAGTTGTAAAGTAACGTTAGTATGCTAATTAATTTTAACATATAAAAATAAATGCTGGGGACTACTAACTATTACTTTTATTAAAAGATCAACTACACTAAATACTGTCTGTGGTTTACGCAAATATTACACATTAAAATAAAACACTTATAGGTTTAAAACGCGATATATATTAGTAAAACTTCCCGTGACCACGGCTGCTGCAAAGTGACATCGAGGCAGTTGTAACGAACATGTAAGTCATTATAGAACTTGTCTTTGATTTTATACTTGTCGTGACTCGAGAGAATTCTTAGCCTTAGGGTCCGATCCATAATAACCACTCGCATTGGATTGCTTTAGGCGAACCCTGAAGCTAGGCTGTGTCTTTACCCTTTTGTTTCGCGGTCGTTTACGAAGGAATATTTATTCACACACACATACATATAATATTTTCACCGCTTCCCCTATGTAGGATATGGAATAACCCATTAAGAAATAAACAACCCGACTGCCTTTGTAAATATAACGTATTTCCTAAACCTACCTGCGTTTAAGTTCCTGGGTTCGAATCTCGGGAAATACGGTGACAGGGCTTATAATTCTAATTAAGTTACTTGCAAAATATACCCGTAAGTAGAACGGAGACAAATATATGTCTGTTTGGTTCAGAGAAACAGAATTTAACTGAAAATCGATGGTATCACATTATACCTGTTAGGCGATGACATTGTAATATTTTAGGTGATAAGAAAAAGAAAGTTATAAAATTAAATTTGTTAATTAAGTCTAAAGCAATAACTGTATTTTATTATTAATTCTAAAAATAATCGGTTCTATCAAAATCGGCTTAGGCATTTACAGTCCATGCATACAAGAAAACAATAATATATTGGATAGAGACGTTACTATTTCGTTGCGTACATTCGGATAAAGATGTTGGGCTCGCTGATTCGGATAATCCGACCGATGTAAGTGAGCTTCGGATAAAAGTAAACTGCTACGCAATAAACAAGATTACATAGTTGCTTCGTTAACAAGGTCTAGTTGCGATTGTTTTCTAGATGTTGTAATCAACCGATTAAGTTGGGAGCGAATATAAATAGTTCGTCTGCAGTCGACGAGAGTAGAAAAAAATATATTATACCACTCTTTTTACCTACCACCCGACGTTGCAGATTTTGCCCTGCTATGCTAGCGCCATCTGTTTGGTCTTAATTCTCGAAGTTAGGCAGCTTGTTTCTGGATATACTTAATATTGTATTTTCATCCAGTAGCATCCTTACTTTTTTATGCTTTGCGGTAGCGATCGGATTTACCTGGTTTTAAATCTCGATGTAGTCTGTCTTTTTTAACTAATAAATTACGCGTTCTAAACAGGGATTTTTAACAAAGGCTGATAGTTATACTGTATAGTTAGGTACGGCTTCATTGGTACAATTCAGACACTTGTAAAAGATAGGTTTTTTACAGACAGGCCCTTAATAAAAAAAATATTTAAGGATAAATATATTGGCCGTGCTGGAATCAAACGTATCTGAACGTACGGAATAATCCTGTATCTGCACTGAATCCAAATCCAAACTTCGTTTAAATCATTTTAATAGTAATCCAATGCAATAATGTAAGTCAGTCATTATAACATAACTAGCTGTGCCAGCGACTTCGTCCGCTCAGAATATTTATTTTTGGCATCCCAATTCGCTTTTTTGCAAACCCCTTATCTTTATAAACTGTGACCCACGACGTCAGTCGGGTCCCTTCCCATCGTTATTAAAAGTTAATCATAAAAGATAGACATATAGCGTCGCGCTTTTTTTTAGATCATTCTTTCATACGTATGTTTGGGTATCTTGAACCGTTTTTGCAGCGTAACCCAAAATAGTAATTCACTTTCCCAGTTTTTTTAACACTACCCGCTGTATCTTCGCTTGTATTAGTAACAGGGCGATGCCTATAGCCTTCCACGATAAATGCTCTAATCATCACAAAAATAATTGTTTAATTCGAACCCGTAGTTTCTTATTACATTAGCGCGTTCAAACAAAGAAACAAGCTCTGCAGTTTTATATATTAGTTGTTATGTAGTAGTAGTTTTATAGATATAGATACAATAAATCCACAAAAAAAAAACACTTGTTTTCAGAAATAATCTGGATGGTCTGGGTTTATGAAATTTCAGGCTAAAATAATGGGCACTCCGACCATTATTATATGTAATGTTTCTTACTAAAACGCCGTTACATAAATATATGAACATCCTACCTTATTAATATTATAAATGCCAAAGTAACTCTGTCTGTCTGTTACTCTTTCACGCCAAAACTACTGAACGGATTTGAGTGAAATTTGGTATACAGGTGATCTAGACCCTGAGAAAGGACATAGTCTACTTCTCATTCAAAAGTGGGTTGTAAGGGGTTAAAAGGGGGTGGGGGGGTGAAAAGTTGTATGGAAATTCGTAGTTTTTTGAAGCTAAAACAATAAAACTTTCTTCTTTGGCTTTTTGGGAATAGGAGTGCTTGTGGGAGTGGGATTGGGAGTGAGTGTGGGGATAGATTGGCTACCCTAAATGCGCCCTTGCATAAATTAATAAACAAACAAGTCACTACTCCACGCGGACGAAGTCGCGGCCACAGCTAGTTATTTATAAGTAAACGTTATTTTGCCTTACCAACAAAAGTACATGACTCAAATTACGAGCACTTGGCGACTAAGATGTAATTTAAGTTGTACTTTCAAACGCACAATTTGCAAATTCCATTTGTATATTGGATACTTCCTTTGAAGTTTGAACAGTATATGTTTGCAATTTTATTATGTACAGAGTTTTTTAGAATGAAATTGTTAAATGCCGTGTCCCATACGTGGGGCGTGGGGCGAACACATTTCTGTGTCCACATTTAACGCTATTAAGAAAATCAAGCCCGGTCAATGTCTACCTATTTGCGCTTTTATATTAACAAAACCACAGACTGCAAACGAAACTCGATTAAACTTCGCGGCTTTTTTATCTGTGGACGTCGATTTCTTAGATGGGACGGAATTTTGGACATTCCTACCCTCCCATTCAATGTCCTGATTTTAAGACAAAGTTCGACATGTTTGTATTTTTTTTTAATTGATTGATTGATTATAAGAATCAAGTTGGTCCAAGTGGGGATCGAACTCGCAACCTATTGATTATAAGCAATACATTGTTACTATTATACACACGTCAAATAGTAGTAGGTACATATATTAAACGAAGCTTTAACATTTTATGATTTGAATGATAGGTATTTTATTATTAACCAATTCAAATATTGAATAATTTATTTGCGTAAGGATTCATAAAAAACAAGAACACTCGACAGTGTTCATTAAATTTTAAATTCATAATATCTTTTGAATTACATAGACTAGGATTTGAACAATTCAAAAAGTAATCTACAAATATTCAAATAGTCTATTAAATAGAATAAATACATAAACAGAATTTATGTGGCCTTATGTTTGGTATTTCTATCAATTTCTTCTATAATCAATAGTTAGTACTAGTTTTAGGAGCGCGTACGATGAAATTTTTTTACTGCATTTTTTGTTTACACATTGGATAACGTTACTAACGATAGTAAGGAACCCTAATCTCCCTCCTTCCCTTATCTAGCAAGAATATAGCTTATTTTACTCAGGGATTTGCCCTTAGTAAAATAATCTATATTGCTGCTTGCGCATAGTCAAATAATTGTTTTAAATGAGCATAATTTTTTATGTTAATTAATTGACTAACATTCACATACAAATATATAAAAAGAAATTAGTGTATATTTAATAATTCCTTCCTGCTTATATACACGCATAAAAATATATAGACATCTTTTTTTGTTATTTTGCATACTTTGTATATATTTTTTTTCTTATTCTGTCTTTTTGGGTTGCATGAAAGAGATCGCCTTTTAGCGATAAGTATACTGAAATAAACAAATTATTTTTTATTTATTGATCATCATGTGATATTAATTGGCGTTTATTAAAATCATCTTAATATTTTATGTGAAGTTAATAACAATACAGACAACATTCTAAAATTATCTTTCCTTGTAGTGTAAAGAGAAAAAAATGCAATCTCATCTTTCTTTTTATAAGCTACGGGGCGGACATATTTTTGTACACGTTTCACTGATTTATGTTGATTTACACGCAAGTAGTTGCTAAGAAACTTCAACGTCAAACCCACAACCTTCCAAGCTTAACGCAATGCGCCGCGGTGATAACGCAATTATTAGATACATCCTGTGAGAACAATTTTAATCCATGCGACTCGCAATTTGGATGAAACTATGAATGCAGTTTATCAGCATTTAATGGTATTTGAGACGTCGGCCGCGTCAGTGCCTAGATCGCTAGCAATCAGTGCACATGTGTCTGCAACTGCGAATAAAACTATGACTGACAGGAACAGTGACCAGGGCACGCTCAGCTCCCCCCACAACCCAGAATGTCCACAGCAGTACTGGACACTCAAGGGGTACGCAAACTTTTAATACTAAACTAGCGATAGTTTTGTTATTGTCGCGAATCTATATTGTAAAAGTACTAACAATTATAAGGCATGTATATTTAATAACAAAACACCACGTGCAATCTTAGTGGCAGAAGTAGTGTGTCGCATTGGAATACTTGTTGAATGTAACTAGTTCTACGACTTTGGGGGGAAGGAGATATAGTAAAGTTCTATTTAAGGTTTGTTGTAACCACGTGCTTTTGCGACTCGCAGGGAGGATTTAGTTAAGTTTAAACTTAGCTGTAATAACGTGTTAGTAAAATGGAAACGATTAAATTACTGAATTATATTTGTTATACTATTTAATATTAGTTAAAATTAAGAAATTAATTTACATCTCAAGTAAAATACACGCGTTTACAATTTAAATAAAACACTGTGAATAAATCAACTGTTTCAAATGCTGAATTAATTAGTTGAATTATTTTTAAGTGTAATGGAAAAATATTTACTTGCGTGAACAACAAACACTTTGAAATCAAATTAATTAAACGGTGTTAATTATTAGTACTTTTACAATAAAGAAATACTTGCAGATGCAATATAAGCTATAATACATATATTTTCTTTAATCTGTCTGTCTGTATGTGCATTGCAAATAAGAGAAATTTTATTACATTATAAGAATATTATATGCGTTACGGTTACGTCACTATAATCTATATTACAAAAAATAACAGAAGTTCTTCTAAAACTCTCGATTTCTTAATTTCGAATACAACTAAAATGTTACCGAATTTTGTCGAGCAATTTAGGATCTATGCGTGGTAATAAACAAACATACGAAAACGTGACCTTGTAAGCGGAGTGTACGCGTATCAGTGTCACATTTGTAATCTCTTAATGAAGGTCATAGATACAAAAAACAAACAACAACAAAATACTATTACATATTTTAACCGATGTTAACAAAGCCGATAATGTTTTGCACACCTTTCTACTTAACACGTGATAAGCAAGCTAGATTATCCCCTGGGAAAACAGTATTTTTCCAGGATAAGAAAAATTTGTTTCACCAAACTTCGGTCCGTGAATTTAACAAAATTGTATCTGTTAAATATTGTATTGCGCATACAAACAGATGGACACATAAATATAAAACTAAATAATATATGTGCAGTGGCGATGTTTTTAAAAGTGTGCCATTTCTAAAAGGACGCATTAATTTTTTTAATGCTTTCGTTTTAGTCTAGTCTTAGTTTATTACAAGTTGTATTTATACAAACCGGGGATTCAGTCCCACGGGTGGTACTTGGGTTTATCGTATCCCCGGAAATGAAGAGAAATTGTTCTTCTAACCAATTGACCATAATCTGTCATCAATCACTTATAATACGGAATCTCTCAAAAGTTGTTTCTGGTTTTACACAGAATTCGGATTTTTAATTACGGTTCGAATGGCTTCCTTAAAAGCCCTCCTTAAGTTATTGACAGTGATTTTCACCATCTGGAAAATAATTTCAATGTAAGGAATATATTTATTACTTAAATAATAATTAAAAAATTGCTTTCGACTGCGACCAATGTGACTATTGGTATGGTAGTCAACAGTTTATATAAAACATTGTTAACGGCTTAAAATTTATTAACTATTATAGTTCGCTTTAGATTCGGTTGTTTAATTTGTTTAGTCTGGTGGCTATTGCTTTCGCCTTTAGATCAGAGTTCAAAGCTTGGATGAGGAAAAATGTTAGCTCGGTATTTGAAAATACCTGCTTGAAGTAAGGTAATATTGTGTAGCTTCGGAGAACACGCTAAAGCAGTTATTTTAGAGTAACATCATTAATTTTCATCGTATTTTTTTCAAAGAAGCTAGAAGACACAAGAATTCAGCTACATAAAGTTTTAAAAAATACACACAAATAAATAAAACTAACTAAGAGACAGCTGAAGGTTAGAACGTATATGAAGAACTCGAGTGAAAAAGACATTGGTGGGGTTGGAAGAGGAAGCTAAACCGCTCGGAAGTCGATAGGTTAGGAAGACATGGCGATCTTCAGTCTCCATCTACAGGTGAACATCTTGATTTCAACACTAACATTAAAATAACATTTCTCACCAATTGTAACTAGTTCTAGAATTAAAACAAAATCATTATTGTTTTAAATAAAGACGTTTTTATTTTCATTGTTTTATTTAACTTTTTTTACTCATTTGATTTTAGTACTTAATTTGGTAGTTTTATTCCCAGTTTTATTTTTACTTCAGCGGTGTGTAGAGCCTGGCAACACATCAACGTTAGGAGGTAGTAATTAGATCGCGCAATGGGTGTGGTATTTTTGTCTACATCATCGGTAATTCTTATAACAAATGCATTAAGTGTAAAGAAGACCACACAATACAATAAATAGCTAAACACAAGTATATTTTGATACAAGTTCAAACAAGCTATATATTTATTATTCTAGCATAGATCTAGTAGCAGTAGTTAGAACTTCGATTCCGAGTTGTGTAAATTTGTTTTGTATCTTGCTTGCTCTTCATTCACTCTTCGATTAAGAATCTTAACTATCTTCTAGAACTAAAATTGTACCCAAATAAGATATGCAAGTCCCAGCAGTGGGAACTGTTATAGTACACATTGAAATAATCATTTTTACTCATAACAAAATATATATATATATATATATATATATTTAATGTTTATACGTCGCTATGCAAATTTATTAAAACAATTTACGCGTGGGCAGAATTTAAATGATTTTTGATGCACTTCACTAAACATAAATTATTGCTTATCTATTGTAATATGCGTTTCAATTTACACACATATTTATTTGTTGCTTATTCATATTAATGACTATTTTTATAATAAATAATGTCGTACTTCCGAAATGGAGGACGGGGTTAACTTCATGGTAGGTGAAATACCCAGTCACATAACATCTAAACCAGATGCACCGTCGGCCTATTTTGGCTTTGGATATTCGGATTTCCATAGACTGAAACCGAAGCGCTATTAAAGTTCACCGCTTTTTAATTTGTGGATCGTTTTTAATGTGTGTCTCGTTCGTAATCTGGGCAGAACTTCCATACTCCTAATGCTTTTAGCGGTATTTGCATGGAAGAGATCGCTAGTAAGCGATAAGGCCGTCTTTATAAGTTAGTACGTAAGATTTTTTTTCATTAATATGTATTTTCTGTGGTGTGTTTTATAAATAATAAAGCAATAATAAATAAAAACATTTTTTTTTGATACCTAGATAGTTTGTCATTTAACATAAAAATGATATTCTAGGATGCTGGGTGAGTATTAACGGATATATAAACGCAACAATTCTAACTATTTATATTTACGATAAAACTTAACGTCTCAATTTACATGCGCTATTTTTAAAATGTTTTGATTTCTCTTTTGAATTTAAAGAAATGAGTAAATTTTTATATTTGAAATAATATTATTATTTTAATGCGCGAATAAATAACTCTATGCAACATAAAACTTATAAACGGATGCACATACATGTAATTTCCTGTGCACAACACAAATTTCCATACAACTTTTCCAATTTTCCATACACGGAAAATGTAGTTTGTCTAACGCACAAATGGATTTGTGAACCGGTCATCAGTTTTTCATAATAAAAACTGCTTCTTATGATTATTAGACGCACGTTTTTTTATACAAGAGTATAATAACATACAATATACATATATTAATTTAATAGCACATTTAAACGCGACACTCTTTTTTAAAAAGCACGAAATATTTGATTCTAATTACGGCCGACGTTTCAGTTGCTTTTCAATAGGAGTTCTTGTTTAGAATTTATATTTGTATAGATTTCGTTTAGTAACGTTTAATTAATAAATAATACAAAGAAAAATAATATAAAATATCCAGACATCTGGTTGCCTTATGACTTTTAACTGTTAGTGTTAATCTACTTAAAACTTCATTTTCGTTTTTTGATAAATTGCTTTTACGAATTGAAAAAATATGTTTGTATTGGAGACCATTTATCGAGGAAGGCTTTAGGTTATATAACACGTCTAATATGAGCAAAACAATGTGGAAGGAACGGGGAAAATCATCTTTGAGAGTTTTCATTGCGTACGCTGCGAAAACGTTTTAAAAAACCGACAAATACGTATGAATTAAATGATCTAAAAAATACATATTTTAAGATTAACTCGCAAGAAACGTTTGTATGGTGATTATTTTGTTGAATAAAAAGTTTTATCAACATAATAAAATTAATGCGGTAAACTCCAAAACATTTACGGATCAACTGGTTTTCATATAACTTAAATTTCAAGAAACCAAAGAACACTGCGGTTCAACACAAGAAATTCTATTGATTGATGCCTAGAATCGATATATTTTTTACATATGATTGTTCTTTACGTCTGTAAATGTATAAAAGTACATATTATAGATATATACAAAATTTTATCATTTGTATAAAATGTGCGGCGGCTAACTAACAGCAAAGTTTCCCGTTAATTTTTCCACTAGATCAATACGGTGTGGTGTGTTTTAACGACTGCCGCCACCGAATTAATGTTGATAACCTATCCACTATAGTTACATCCACCATGTGCTATGCGATAATATAGATCTATTTTACACGAGTAATCTATATATAAACACTGAATTAATATATTATTGATAACAGTAAATATGATGTCTGCATCAGAGTGACATAGGAACAAGTGTAAGATGTAAACAATATGAATGCCAGACGCAGCGAAGTATTTCCAATTGCCCTGTTTGTGCTTTGCTATAGTATAAGGCTGTTGCGGAACGGAATATGAAAAGGGGAGAGATTTTTTTTTGTATAATAGAACAAATGTATACAGATCGAAAATAAATTGAAAAAATTTTCGACTCGGGCAGGACTTGAACCGGCATCGTCAGCGTTCCGTGCTGTTGCTCTACCAATTGAGCTACCGAGTCCTACACCTCGAGCCCGTAGTTCCCGAGATTAGCGCGTTCAAACAAAGAAACTCTTCAGCTCTATATATGTATTAGTATAG